ACTCATCGTGGGTAGCAATAATCTAATGATTAATTCTACCAAAAGCATGTTAAATTCTAAATTTGACATGAAGGATATGAGGCTGGCCGATTTAATCCTTGGGGTTAAAATAACTAGGAGACCGGACGGTCTTACGCTAAGCCAATCCCATTAAGTTGATAAAATTCTTACTAAGTTTAATAAGGATGATTATCAAGAGGCAAAGACACTATTAGATAAAAACGTACACCTTATCAAAAATCATGGAGAGTGTATTTCTCAAGTAGAATACACTAGGATTATTGAAAATTTGATGTATCTAATGAGTTGTATCAGGCCTGATATTGCTTTGTGTGGTTAGCAAGCTGAGTAGATATACTAGCAACCCCAGTGGTGAACACTGGAAGGCAATAGTAAGGGTTTTGAGGTATTTACGAAAAATCCAACACCTTGGACTGCACTGTGCCAGATATCCAGGTGTACTTGAAGGGCATAGTGACACTAGTTGAATATCCAACATTAAGGATCCAAAGTCCACGAGTGAATATGTTTTCACTTTGGGAGGTGCAGTCGTGTCATGAAAATCCTCGAAACAAACGGTAATATCCAAGTGTACTTGAAGGGCATAGTGACACTAGTTTAATATCCAACATTAAGGATCCAAAGTCCACGAGTGAATATGTTTTCACTTTGTGAGGTGCAGTCGTGTCATGAAAATCCTCGAAACAAACGGTAATAGCTAGATCCACGATGAAGTCTAAGCTAATAGCCTTGGATAAGTGCACTGAAGAGGCTGAATGGCTACACCATTTTCCAGAGGATATTCCAAGTTGGGAAAAGTCTGTCCCTCTAATATGCATATATTGCGATTGTCAAGCAGCAATTGGAAGGGTACAGAGCAATATGAACAACGATAAGTCTAGACACGTTCGTCGTAGACATAACACCATTAAACAACTCCTCACAACGGGTGTTATCAATGTTGACTACGTGAAGGCAAAGGATAACATAGCGAATCTGCTAACTAAGGCATTGGATAGTGAATTGTTGGAGAAGTTGTCACGAGGAATGAGACTAAAGCCCGTGAATTGAAAAGTTCTATAGTGGATACCCAACCTAGTTGGTCCTAGGTTCAAAAGGGACAACTAAATTATAGAGCGAAGGATGGTCACTGTGGGGGTCCCGGACTCTTACCCACTCGCCGTTGAAATAGTGACTCTTGCACGAGGTTAGCAAAAATGTTTGCTTTAATGATTCTGAAATATTGATCTTCTTGGTGACATTGGAAGAGTATGCGAGATACTCATGAAAGAATCACCTATGTGAGAGAGAAGAGGGTCGCTTCAAAGGAGAACTTTAAAGGCTCATGATAGAGTATTTAATTCTAAAGAGAAGTGAGAGCTAGAGATAGAAAGCGAGAAATTAATATTTCTCAACCCTCTATAACTACCTCTAGGGGGCTATTTATAAGAGTGAATGTGGATTTGGGCTCCTAGCCTTGGACTTAGGAGGCCCATTACAGTAATCATGCCTCTTTTGGGCGAAATAAGGCCACTAATAGACTGTGTACGAGACTTAGAGAATTAGGTATGAAAATACATTCTGCCAAGACCATGCTCAGGCCGATCCGGTGCCCTTTGGCCGACGCGGTCCCCTGCCCGATGCGATCCCTGACCGATGGGGCCCATTATGCCTCTGAGCAATGTCCTGGGTGGCTTTGCTGCTGGCCGTTGCGGGACCCACCTGGCCGAAGGATGCCACGTGGATGGTCCTCCTCGGTGTCTTTGACCTTCTGAGTATGTGGGCCACGGGGTCTGAGCCCATATGCTCTATCAGCTCAGTTCTTTAGAACCTCTTGCAGAACCAGGACGGTGACCCATGACCAAAACGAGCACACCCATAAGAACGGAACAAAGTTGGAAGATTCATGTGTAAAGATAAGTCAATGTTTACACGACGACAGTATAGTTCAAGGACATCGAGTCTACTAGACAGCTAATAAATAAACACGTCCTTACAGTGAAAGGTTCAAAGGATAAAATCTACCTCTCCGTATGCAGGGATCATCTAGTGAACACAACATGTCATCCTATCTTCGTGCCATTTTAAGTCTCGAAAATCAATTTTCATTCATATGGGCGATTGTTGGAAAATGTGTTAAAAATTGCATTAGATGGTCAATTTTGGGCGATAATTTGAGTGGGATCCACTTCCCATTTGGGTCGGATCAAAGTGATTTCAGATTGTCTTTGTTAAGGGCTACCATTCGATATGTGATACACTCAAAACGGATAACGGGTGAATGAGAAATTAATTCTCGAAGTTCACTCGTTGAAATGGTGTTGGGAGGAGGCTGTTCCTTTGGGAGGAGGCTGGTGGAATATAGTAAGAAGAAGAAAAAAAGTGGATGTAAAAAGAGTCTAGAATAAAACATGAGTAAGTTGAGAAAAAGATCTAGTATAAATAGGGAATTAATCCAAACAAAAATACATAGAAATGGAAATGCAATAACAAATGGGAAGAAGAAAAATAATGAAAGCGAAGGAAAAAATGAAATTTACAAATATAAACTTGAAGAGGATAAAAGGAAAGAGATAAAACATTCGTGGAGAAAAAAATGATACGTGGGGCTGTTTTTGAGAAGATTTGTGAAGTGTGGGAATGTGTGTTTTATGGTTTCATATTTTATAAAGAAAATGAATAACCTGGAGCAACATGTCATTAATAGGTCAAAAACTAGCAAAAAAAAAATGAGGTGCAAATGAGAGATCATTTTAAGATTACGATTATGTGAGACTATTATAAAAAGACCTGTAAAATGTAGGACTACTTATTTCCATTATCCCTATTATTATGTTTATATGGTAAACACATGTTTCTAAAACATTCACAATATTGTTTTCAATTTAACTGTCACATTTAATTATATTTTACAAATGAAAAAACACATAATACGAATTACATTGAACACTTTTATAATCATAATCATTCAAAATCCGCAGCTCATATATATATATATATATATATATATATATATATATATTGTAAGGACACATTTTTCGCAAATTAAACCGTGAAACCGTTATATCTTATATATGATACTCAAAATGGTACTACGTATCATTTATCTAATCAAAGACCCAATAAATAATCTCGCTTAGTCTGCTCGTCCCCAATCCCCATACCAACTCTCTATCTGTCAGGTTGTGATTATAGTCCAACTTACATCCTCCCATCGTGCTGTCCGGTCGGTGTTGGGGGCCCTCAGGGATGGGGTGTCATCCTTTTTTTTAATAAAAGGAAAGATTTCACAATATGATTACAACAACCCTATGATCCATCACAACAAGAGTGTGAATTTAATTAATGATGACTTAGCTAATAAATACATAAATAAATATATCAATACAACGAGATATATAATGTAACTGTCTTTCTTTTTCTGTCTTTTCTTCATTAATTGCCTTTTGTGTCTTCATCCAAATATTGAGAATTCAACAACAATTTCGTTTTCTTCCTATTCAACATTCATATTTTTTCCTCTTATTTTCTTTTTTCTTTAATTATCTTATTCTCATTCATCAAAATATTAATAATCCAACCAGTTTTTTAATTTTCTTCATTTTCAAAATAAAAACCAGGATTCTTTAATTTCTACCTTCATCAATTAGAAATTGAGGTTTCATTTTCAAAATACAAAATTTTTACATTAAACAGTTTATATTTGGACTTGTCTCAAATTACATTTCCATTCAACATAATTTACAAATCTATTGGTCTCAGATTACATTTCCATTAACACCGTTTACATTTCGACTTGAATCATATTAAATTTCAATTCACACGATTCAAATTTCGACTTGTCTCAACAAGTGACTTTTGTCACTACGTGAAATTACATATTTAGTAACTCGAGTTACCTTTGCCACTACATGAGATCACATTTCCAAGAACATGAGTTATATTTTTATACACGCGATTTACATTACTTTTACCATTCGTCTAACACGAATATAGCCCCAAATTTTTAAATATGTCCTTTTTATAGCCTAACATGTTATCAACATCAAAGCATATTGCACTATTTACATCAAAGTCATTGATTTATTCCTTATACTCTATATCAGACAAAAGGCATTTCGATTCGACTCAAATTAAATTTTCGATCAGCACAAGTTATATATTGTTCCAATAACATCGGGACCTGATGATATGGTGCCGTTATTAAGAAAAGTAAGATCATTCATTGATTATTGATACGATAAAATAAAATTAAAATAAAAAATGAACTAGAATCAAACAAACTTTTCGAAATTCAATAGGTAGATGCAGAGTAATATTGAGCACCTTAAATATTACTCCCTCCGGTCCAAAATAAAATTCTCACTTTACTTTTTGGATATGTCAAAAATAAACTTCTAAAAATTCACACTTCTATTTTTGACAAGTTTTTAATATAAAGTTACTCTTATACCCTAATTTTATTACCTACTTTACACTCACTTTCTCTCTATCACTACACTTTATCTAATTTTTGTAGGGGCATGGTTGAGAAGTCAAAACAAAAATTTTAACTTTCTTAAAAGGAAAATGCTTAGTGTACATGAGTTGTACACAAGTTGTACACAAAACCTCCCTAGTTACTTGTGTACACAAGCAATTCGTTCAAAAAGAGGCAGTACTTGATGTCAAATTGTCTGTGTACACAGACAATGTACACATTTTGTGTACAATTTGTGTACACCAAGAATGATGCTTCTTAAAAAGTAAAAACGGGTAAAGTGAGAATATTTAGGACCAAGGGAAATACATGGACGGGTGGAGCTAGAGGTACACACAATTTGTACACTTGTATGTCCCTCACAGACAAGTTGTCTGTCCCGAGATGAGTTATCTGTCCCCAGACAAGTGTACAATTTGTGTGTAGAAATTATTGTGTGTACCTCAATCTTTTTTCTACATGGACACATGGTAGTTGGGGAGGGAGGATTTGATAACTAATTTTTGACCCACTCATTTGTGCCTATGGTATAGGTGAGGCCACATATTTGACCAACTGCCATCAATTTCCTTCAGTTAGACGTGTAAACATCTGTTTCTCGGAATCGATCGGGCGCCGTATATGAGGTTTGGTTGAAACTTGAAAGCATACATTGCAGTTCAAACTCCAAACCGTGGTTGTTTTCGAATACCGGATCACCGGAGGTCGAGGGTAAAGAGGAGAACATGGCGGCGGAATCAAACAGTATAGAAGTGAGTGGCATGCAATTCGGGTACGATCTCCAAACGCCCCTGTTCTTCGATTTCAGCCTTAAGGTTCCTCCAGGATCTCGGTGCCTGCTCGTCGGCGCTAATGGAACCGGTATTGCCCAATTTCGTAGACCGTCGGACTAATCAATTCCTCAATTGATTTCATTTTTTATTTTTGTTTCTTTTCAAGGGAAGACGACTTTGCTCAGAATTTTGGCGGGGAAGCATATGGTGGGTGGAAGAGATGTCGTCCGGGTTCTGAATTCTTCCGCTTTTCATGATACGCGCCTTGTTTGTAGTGGCGACCTGGCATATCTGGGCGAATCTTGGAGTAAAAATGTTGGCTCGGCTGTAAGTGAATTCATTTATTTTATTTTCTTTCATGTTTGAGGATCTTATTCTGAAAACAATAAGAGCATTATGTTTGTAATTGAGGTTATCAGGGTGAAATCCCACTCCAGGGAGACTTCTCAGCTGAGCATATGATATTTGGAGGTGAACTAACTCGTCTTCTATGTTTGCTCTATTTGTTCATCTTTAAATCAATTTAGGATCCAATATTGGTACTAGTAGTACATAAGTGCAACTCAGTGCTCAAACAACTAGTCAGAGTTTCTAGATCTCTTTGTAAGGCTGGTCGGAAAACCTGTTGTTGTACTCGAAGAATAGCTCTTTCCTGTTAAAACAGAAGAGTTTCATTTTTACCATTTTTGAATTGTTCTAAATTATTATAAACTGTATTGATTATGTGAGTTTAGGCAGTATTTATAACAAATGATGAATTTTATTGTATTTGTGAGTTACTACTTTCTGCATTACAGTTATAACGGAACTACTTGCGGTTTTATTTGAGTTATTATCATATGAAGTCGATATAGATGCAATTGATGACAGTATTATGCACTTCTGTACATTGCATTATAACACTTCGTTTGTTGGTGGTGTGGTTCAGTTGAAGGAGTGGATCCTATTAGGAGAGAGAAGCTGATTGAGCTGCTAGACATAGATCTGCAGTGGCGGATGCACAAGGTGTCTGATGGTCAGCGTCGTAGAGTCCAGATCTGTATGGGAATTCTTCATCCCTACAAGGTGATCCTCAGTCCATGTCTGCTGTTATCTTTTCCCGTTGTCTATGCCAAATTCTGTGATTTTGTATCAGTGTACTATTGATTTTGTTGATATCCAGTTTCAGACTCATGCTTATTGTGCATGAGAGGCGCAGTTCAAATAAACACAAAAGTTTTATTTTTATCGACCATAAAATAGTGCCATAAATTCAAATAATTTATACCACACCTGTATGGTTATAAAATGTAATTTGAAAAGTACTATGGAGTATTTATTTATTAATAAAAATAAAAATATACTGGGTATTATGGTACTTTCACAAGAAAAACTGAAGGGGTACTTTCACCCTTATTTGTAGTAGGAAGTGATGTGCAAGATGCAAAACGGAGTATTGTTTAAGTGTTTGTTAGAGTTGTATACTCCCTCTGTTTATTTTAGCTTGCTTCACCAGGCTTTTTACTGATTATAAGTCTGAATGACAGAAGTAGTGAATAGATTAAGTCGAAAAGCAGGTAAAAGCAGTCGAAAAGGAAGGAAAAAGTTGGAAACCGAAAAAGGATATTGAAAGTCGCAGACATTTATGTCATTTGAGACATTTGTGACCGTCAAGAAGGGAAATCGGAGCATATAAAAATAAACAGATGGACTACTTAATTTCTTAATATTCTAAAAATAATATAAGAGACAATGCCGATGCCACATGTTACCCTAGATGCTCCCTTATAGAACCTTTCTATAATTATATGATGTTTTGAAAAACACGTTCATTTTAACAGTAGATGTTCATATAGTATTACTTGTTCTTTTGCATTCTCTAGATCTTTTGAGGATACTGATTTGGGTTGGTTGAAGAGAAGGTTCAGATTTTATGAACGCGTTGTTGCGCCTATGTAACATTTTTTGAATATCTTTTTGCTCATTTTCTGATGCAGTATTTCTTTTTTCTTCTTCTTTCTGTTGTCTTCTCAAGTCTCTGTTAAATGATCAAGTACATAGTAATCTTATAGTCTTACTACACCATTTAATTGAGTATTGTCCTTTTATTGTTAAGGTTCTTTTGCTTGATGAGGTTACTGTTGACCTAGATGTTGTTGCGAGGATGGATTTACTTGACTTTTTTAAGGAGGAATGTGAACAGGTATGATCGGAAGAAAATAGATCCTGGAAAATGCTAGGGAAGAAAAAGAAAATTCTAAGGAACGTAATTTCACATGTTTGACTGTTTGTTTGACACTGAAGATGTAAAGAAAAATGATTTTTTTTCAGTTTTTATGTATATATGTTTATATTTCATAGTATGCTGTAGTAGAAATAAATAAGTACAAATGAATTTGAAACAGTATTAAAAATTAAATTATTCAGTTTGAGTTGACAATATTTTTTCCTTGACATTTTCTTTCCTATCAAATTTATTTTTATTTCTCTCCATATTTTCTTTCCCTAGCATGTTTCAGCATCTGGTGATTTAGCTCTACGATTTTTTTCCCTGATCAGTATGAATTTAAATATTCTTCTTTTACCAATGTCTTGTTGACTACAGAGGGGGGCAACAATAGTATATGCAACACACATATTTGATGGACTAGAAACTTGGGCAACAGACTTAGTCTACATCCAAGATGGTGTTTTGAGGAGGTCTGAGAAGCTTTCAGAACTCGCTGAATTGAAGACTTGTCCCAATTTGCTATCAGTGGTGGAGAAATGGCTCCGGTCCGAGACCCCTATAGAGAAAAAGAAAACCGAGATCGACCACCCAGCTGGTGCACCTAAGAAATCGTCCCCTTTTGATGCTTCTCCCTTTCGCTCATCTAGACACATGGCTTATTATCGTTGATGGCTACCAGTTGAACGTCTATAATGCAACATGAGCATATCTTCTTGTTCAGGGAAAACACAAGGAAATAATGCAAACGAATGAAGATATCATATTTCTTTGGAAATGTCTGGATCTCAACAAATGCTAGGGGAAGGAAGTAAATATACTAAGGCACTGTTCGATACCAATTTTTTAAATTAGAAACAAAGTTCAGAAAATCAAAAGGAGTTGTTTTCAGTTTTTGGTGTTGCCAATTTTCAAAATTAGCATGATCATTTTAAGCATGATAGTATTACATGTTCATTCATTATACGGCATATGTCATATACCTTTTAAAGTCTATATTTTCTTCTGTGTATTTTAAATGGAAGCTGAAATTTAAATTTTTTGAAGTGATTTTTTCTGGTTTTTAAATTTACAATGTCAAGGAAAAAGAAACTATCATCTTTCCCATATAAAATTACATCTTTACTTTGTTTCCCTAGCATTTTCCACGAAACAAACAGACCCTTGAGTTTTGAAACCAAACCGCCTCTGGGTGGATTTATTCACGTTATTTCCTCGTGTTTTTCATACGTAGTATATGGGAGGATTTACTCCAATCACATAATAAAGGTCTGTGAAGGCGCTAGGCAGGGGATCTCCGGGTCTGGTTTGTAATAAGGTATTGTTTGGTTGATTTGCCTAAAATGAATTTCAGGAATTTGTATACCATCTACCAACACCGAGTGCAATTCTTGTAAGGTTTTATGAAATTCATTCCACATTGTACTCATTCATGATTACTGCTATGAGTGCATGTATGGAGAAATGGTCTGGTTCATCCGGACTGACAGGAATAGTTGTTTGACCATCGGACCATGCCCGTTTGAGGGCTTTTTGGGTCGAATTGTTTGATGAAATGTAGAACATTCACAAAGTTTCAGCTTAAAATTCAATCAGAAAGGCGTGAGATCGGGTTGGCTAGGATCATAAAAACCTCCGAATTCTTCAGGTTTTAAGTTATTGGATCCGATTAAAGGACCAATGCTTTGAGCTGGTTCGGGTTTTAAGAGATTCGGGTCCAGGTCAGGTTGAATCCGAAAAAAAAATCTCTATATTGTTGAGTGAATCGAAGTTTTTTTTAGAATAGCAAATTAAATAAGTACTCTTTTTTTGAATGGAAAATTGCTTATATTAAAATCAATAAATAAAACATCATTACAATGGACTCAAGATAACTCCAACCACAATTAGAAGCCTAATATTAGACATTGATTTTGCCACCCACAGATGAGTCGCAAAAGTCGCTAATATTGTAACAAACAAATGAAAGCTTAATTAGATCATGCCGATCTCTATGTTTTTAACATGGTATGAAGAACCTATAATATCTCTAAAAGATCTAAAATGAACAAACAAAAAGTAATAAAAAGTGCATAATAAGCAAAATTGTAAATACGGTTGAAACTAGCCATCCTCGTCCAATCATGTCGCCGTAGCGTCCTCATCTGATTCCAGTAGATCTGTAGATATGTTGCGCTCGACATAATATCACTGAATGTTATTCCAATTTGAAATGTACGAGTCTGATTAAAATATAGAATTACTTTTCCAATCAATGATGGTGGTTCGGAAGGGGCATGCCATCGGTAGCGCTATCGATGATTTGAGGAAAAAATGACTTCTGAGAAAAGTAGATCTTCGTCTGGAAGAGTGTCTTCAATAGCAATTGAACAACAATATGACATCACGGAGCAACTCGTGTTGCTAATTTGAATAGAAATTACCTATAAAGTGACTGTCAAAATTGACAGAATAATGACAATCCTAGATAAATTATGGAACAAAACACTGCTCATACGAGCATCAAACCACACATTTGCTTCTAAATTAATTTCCTTTACGCGAGAATGTTTTGATACTATTGCCCTAAGTTTACTTTTATAAAAATACTTGTATTAGTTTGTGTATTTTGGAAACAAGTTAACCGAGATTCATATCGCATCCGTTAGTTGCACACATTAAAGATTCAACCCGAAATAAAATCCTTTCAATATCTGACCCTACCCGACCCGTTCATGCATGGTTTACCAACTTATATTTCACACCGTGGGTTGGTAAATAACCAACCCGAATAAATCGGGTAGACCCAAAAATACAGCAAACCTAACCCAACCCGCCTGATGTGGAGCTTACCGTTAATGACTCTTAATTGAAATCCTCAAATAATTCAGGAAAGAAGTAACTGACAGCTAAAATCATATACCATATTTCTGTATTTGATTACTTTTTTAATTAAATTAAGGGTTGCACGTCAGAAACAAGATGTGAATAGTTGTTAGTAACAAAATCATGACTTTCAAGTAACTAATTGGATTTTTTATTTTCAGCACTAATTGAATAATCTGTTATAGCAAATACACATGTCCAATTAACTACTATGTATATTTTTATGTTGTGCGTATTCATGATTTGAGGTTCGTAGTTACGTTGTACTCGTTAGGTCCAGGTACAATAAGTAACTAATTGTTGATGATTCCTTTAGTGCTGATAATTTTGATAAAGTGACGTTGAACTAACTAATTCTCATGACTTCCAAATATGTAATTGGATTTTTTATTTTAAGCACTAATAATCTGTTATATCAAATACCCATGTCCAAGTAACTATTATTTTATGTTGTGTCTATTCATGTTTGGTTAGTAGTTACTTTGTGTTCATCAAGTTCAAGTAATTAACTGCCATTGATTCGTTTAAGTACTAATAATTTTGATAACTAGTGACGTTGAAGTAACTAATTCTTGAAGTGACGTGTATGTAATTGTTGGGATATTGGTTCCAGGCCCAATATACCCAACCAAAAGTATGACAGGGCCATGAGGAAATCATAGGGCCCAAAGCAATCCAGAACATCCCGATCGGCATTCGGCACAGTTCTTCTACTTGGAGTATTTCAGGAAATACTAACACCTAAACACCCATGGCGGGGTCCCCGCACACTGAACAGGGTACCCGAACGGGGACGTCAGCAAGTGGAAGCCGCATTTAATGCTAGAGCATGGCAGCAGCAAGTGGAGGCATCAGTGCATACGTGGCAGAGGTTACAGCCTACCGGATTCAGCCACGTGTCTGTCTCACCCATCCCCACTCTAGTATAAATAACTGCATTGAATACATTGTAAGGGGTTAGCATTTTAATACTCAGAGCTTAACAGTTAGAATTATCTCTCTTATTCTTGTATTCTTGTACTTACCTACCGTTCGGGTAGTCCAGTGTAATCGCAGCATTACTGAATACAGGTTAGCTCCTGAGTTGAGTAATATTTCACTATTTTATATTTTATACACTTTCCAAACCAACCTAACGTCCTTAAATATCCAAAGCGTATGTTGGGCTTTCGGATCTTCGGGATTAAATCTCAACAATAATGAAAAGTATATTTTCTGGATTAATAATCATGTTGAAGTTTGTAGCAAAAAAAATTATGTTGAAGTTTTAGTGACCTGCAAATAAGTACTACGTAATAGAGTAGTAACTAATAATTAGTGACCTGAAAGTGATTAGTAATGTGTAACTAAATAAAAGTACATTGTTTTTCATATACTCTGCATATATTAGTGACCTCAAACTAATAAATAGTCAACTCTTGTAATTAATACGGAGTAATGATTTGTGTTTAGTTTAGTGACCTGTATTATAAACAACACGTTGTTAGTTACACGTCAAGAAGACCAGACCAGTTACCAGTCTGTGAGTAGTTAAATTACCAGAGCTCCCGTTGTCTATAATAGATTACATATATTAGTTACAGGTCTGGGAAAAGACCATAGGATTGGAGTAATTCAGTAATTGGGTGGATGGTAAGAATTCAAATACTCCGTCAAAACATGCGTGTGGTGTCGTGAGTGGGACATTTAATTGGGATAAGGTTTAGAAATATAAAAGAGAAAAGTGTCATATTGGCCCTCCTACTTCGTACGGAAAGACAATTAAGCCCTTGTACTTTAAGTTTATTCAATTATGTACTGCTACTTCGAAAATTTTGTCAAATCCGATTATTAGCAGGTAACCCACCGGTCAACATGGCGCACACTTGGCATGACGGGCACAAACGTGGCAGCCCACATCACTTATGTATTTTGTTTTTCCCTTTTACTTTTCTTTTTGCCCTTTTCTTTCCTTCTTTCCCCCATTTTCCCTTTCGCAGGTCATCTTCTTCCTCCGGTCAGACCTGCAATTCCGCAAACCGTCCATGGAATCTTGTTGCCACCTTCTTTCTTCCTACCTTTTATTCTATTTCTCGTTCCCCTCTCTTCCTTTATCTGTCAACGACCGGCAAGGGGCAAAAATCACTGTTCATTCGGAGATTAATGTTTGTTCATAACTCAAATGTGGGTGGTGGTTTGTTTTACTTTGGAGACTAGCTTCGAGTTCGATGGGAAGGTACGAAGCTCCATATCAATTTTGAGCTGCTGAAACGAGTTTTGGGGGCTGGTTTGTAGCTCGCCGGTGCTTCTCTTTTTTCGGACTACTCCGGCATGTTTTCCGGCGGTTTTATGGATTGCAATAAAAAAACAGAATATGCAAAGGAGGTCTCCGTCGACAGCCGCACCTTCTCATATTTTTAATTTAATTTTATGAGAATTCTTCATTTTGGCCACTCCTGTACACCGGTGATATCATGCGCGGAAGAAGGAAGAAGAAGATAGGTTACCTGGGGAAGAAAAGAAAAAAAGGTAAAGGAATTCATCCAAAAAAAAAGGTAAAGGAAAAGGAAAAAGAAGAAAAAGTAAAGTAAAAAGGTGACGTGGTCTGTCACGTTTGTGCCCCGTCATGCCACGTGTGCGCCATGTCATCAGGTAACCTGCTGACTGGCGAGTTACCTGCTAATAATCACATTTGACGAAATTTTCAAAGTAGCAGGACATAATTGAAGAAAGAGATGATACTGCGGCCTAAGGGAATATCAATATAATTGAGAAATAAGCAATTACGGAGAGAATTTGAAGCTATAATTACGCACGTTTCTAGTAAAAATATCGTTTCAATTAAAACAAGTCATACTTACGGGAAAAACAATGAAGTCATATCTTATGAATTGTAAAGATGCCTAGTAAAATTAGGGTCATTTTCCCTTAAATAAATACTATAAAACCAAATGTATGACTTAAATAATACGTAGTATATAATAGAGAATCAAATACTACGTAACTCAATTATATGCATATGAGCAAATAAAATTAAATAAGAAAACGAGGATGGTTGTTCCTATTATTAATTATATTAAGAGAAAATTAATGACTAAAACTCATCTATTTTTTCAATACATGCCCTCATTAGTTTTTCCCAAAATAATACTCCTTATTTAAATTCATAATATTAATGAATAAATATTTTTAGGACTAATTTGCTCTTACATTTCTTTTTACCATAATACGTCCTTCAATTGATATTATAAAACCCTAGCTTTCTACTCATTTTCTAAAAACTATAGCCATTAGCCATCGTCGCGGCACCTGTCGTCGTCCCCATCGTTGCGGCACCCGCTGCCCCAATCTTTGCGGCACACGCCTCCGCTGTCGCCGCGGTAGTCCCCATGCGCCGCCATCATCTCCATAAAGTAGGAATAATAAAGAACCACACAAATTATACCAAATTTGGTATGAAACTGATAGACAGTGTACCCGGGGGTAGCTTATGTGAGGGGTTATTGCGGGGAATAACCTAGAGAGAAGTCAGAGCAAGCAAGTAAGAGAGAGAGTCAAATATATTGAATGAACTTGAGATGTTGGGATCCTTTACAAGGGGAAAGGGGCTGCTATTTATAGCAGCCATAAATGCTAGGCGAGTACACGTGTCAAACATCTGGCGGCCGAGAGTCACCTCAATCGGGGGTGGCACCGGCATTTGCATGTGCACCGCATTAAATGCGGT